ATGGGCGTCAACTTTTGAAAATGCAAATTGTTGCTTTGAGACAGTTACATAATAAAATGTGATTTATATTATTGTTCGTGAAATTCGTTATTGAGTCGCCCTAAAGGAAAAACGTTTCTGAAAGAACAAAAATAATTATAAAAAATTTTTGTTCTATACTACGGATGTTTCAAAAAAATGTTTTTTTCTTAAAAATTAACTGTGGAAGATTAGGATAGTTTGTTTGTTACAAAAATCAGTAAAGATGAAAGTAGAACAAAAAATGTAATAACAACATGTGTTTTAAGTTTTTTAACTTAAGTTCGTAACATGTGTTATTGATGATGATAATGATGATGGTTTAATTTAACACTTGTTTAACAAACACATCACAAGAGAAAAGCATTGATATTTCGATTGTAATCCTATAATAGAGAAAAATTTCTAAATTCTATTAAAAGATTATTTTTGAAATATAAAAATATGAAATTCTATAAAAGATCATAAACACAAAATCGATATAGCCAACTTTATATATATATATATATATATATCTGTTATAAGGTGGCATTATAGAAAACGCAATCTAAAATCTCGCGAACGCTATACAGTATAGAAGTGAATTGGTGGTCTGACTCATACGTGAACTGCTATCGTCTTTGCGAAGAGAGAGCACACCGCAGGTAAACGAATAAAATCGCTCCGTTTACATCGAGATAACGTGGCATCAACACCCTCAAACCCATTAACGGTATATATACCTTCAATATATATATATATATAAATAAAAACTCTTTCAAATTTTATCTACAGATGATTTTAATTTTCATTTTATCAAATATCTTCCAAATTAATATAAATATGAATTAAATTTTGCTACAACACCCAGGAAAAAGATTTCTTTGAAACAAAAAAATTTAAGGCGATTAATTTACATGAAAATTTTATAAATTATTTTTCATTGGCTAATACAAATTTTCAAAATTAGTTAGATAATTCTACAACTGAAGAGATAGCATAAATTTGTTGATTATGCAGGATTTTTTTTAGGGCAACAGGTCGTAAACAAAATCAAAATCGTTGACCTGATCGTATACGTCGAGAGAGAGAGAGAGAGAGGTTAGAGCCGCCTAAGATCCGATATATAGAGAGCGAAGTTTAGCCAAATTACATAGCCTCCTTGTCAGATGGTGGGGTGATTGATGCTTTAGCCAGAAACTACTTTCTGACGTTTTCCAGGAAATTAAATAGCAAAACGTCAAGAGTCCAAAAACAGGCGTTAATAATTACTCATCTCTTCCACTTATTACCATTTTAAAAACTGTGTGCTTTTATGGGCATTTAATTTTACAGTATATATATATATTCTATATTTAAAAGTAAAATAACTTTCAAAATTGCCGCCAAAAAAGAAGAAAGATTAAAAAAAAAACCTAACCTAACCTAAAAAACCTAACCCCACCTATTTTTTTATTTGGCATTTTGAAAAATCTTATCAGTTCTATAATAATTTTATTAGTTCGTGGCGTATGGTCTAAAACACTCGCTGCCAGAAATGCCTACACTTTTTTGTCTTCACACGTGTTGCCATGACAACATGTGTGTTAGAAAAGGACAAAAAAGTGTAGGAATATCTGACTACTAGTGTATAATGGTTGGTTTCCATTGTCCCCACTCGCCATAATTCTGGTCAACTACCGCACCCAACTCTAGTAAAAATTTAGTAACTTTATATAGTAACTTTTAATTTTAACAATAAAGTAACTAAATTTGTACTAGAGCAGGGTGCGGTAGTGGACGAGAATTATGGCAAATGGTAAGTGGGGAGTATGGAAACCCACCCAATGGGATGCCAAACTTGATACATGAGTTGGAAAAGGATAGAGATATACTTGTATCCTTTACTAGTGCATGCAACACGTTCGCAAATCAATTGTGTTAAGGGCTTAAGGATTATAATTCAATTCAGGCTTCATATTGAAAAAATGCCAATCGGATTAGACAACTTAAGAGATTTTTTACGTTCAATCACCGACTGTAAAATAGTAATAAACATTACACTACGAAAAATAAAATAAAATGATTTAATAATTTTTCTTACTTACTGATAATAAATAACAGTTATTGCTTTAATAAATAAAAGTGGACAGCAACTTAAGCTTTTTTTGAGGTTAACTTTACAATACACAAAATTACGATCAAATAGTAATCACCGAATCTGAAAAAATGAAAATATTAAAATAAACTAATAAATTGGGCAATATTTTATAATATTAACATCATTCGACTTAACTATAGTTTCTAGAAGTTCATATATTTTAATTTCTTAAATACACATGCTTCGAATTGACACGATCGACTATGATTTACCCTGGCTATCAACCTATAGAAATCTGAAATTCTGTCCAAAATCATTTTGAGTAACTTGAAGTTTTTCGCTTACTCAATTCAAGATACCCAACTCAAATAAAGTTGCAACAAAAATCAGTCCCAAGTTTTTTCCATATGTATAGGGTTTACACTAATCTGATGGTGTAGGGCAATTAGAAAAATCCGAAAATTACAACATGATTTAGTATATATAAGCAAATTTAAACCAGGTAGCTGAATTTAGGGTTTCTTGTAATTAGAGAAGCGGCTTCTCAACCCACCCCCAAGGCTAAATCCAAGATTTCTGATGATCCTTTTGTTTTAATCTACAGTATCTTTTGGGGGTCGCGAATTCCCCAAAGGGTTGTTCTCTCTCTCTCTTTCTCGCAATTCAGAGGAACCTAATAAATCAGCAAAAGGCACATTTAAAAGTGTATTAGAGCACTCTGATTGATATGCATTTAATAATATAGATCTGACGCCAGAAGGTACCTCATCTCGTCTAGGAAGTTTATATTATGGTCAGTCGCCAAATTCTTTGAGCTTTAGCTGTTTTTTTTTTTTTTTTTTTGTTACGATCAAGGCACAAAACTCCGCAACCTGGTTGCGGGTGGCTCTCAACTTTTTGAATAGAGTTTAATAATATGTTTTTAAGTCTAAAGGGCTCCTGATGCTTATAATACAGTGAACATGCAAGATGCCTTAGGCTTTTGGACGCCCTTTTCGCTCCTTCGGTTCTTTTCTCTCGCTACGGTAGCGTCCATATTACAAGTCAGCTCTCTCTTTCTCTTCGTATAATACTATTTCTTCTGTGGTTGGTAATTAAACGAAAATCATATGTGAATTAGAATGGACGTGATGAATTACCTTTTTTATTAATAATATGTTTCCTATATTTTGTATTAGGCAAATCTTTTTTGAATGTTCTTGATCTAATATTAAATTTTGTATTTAAAATCTTTTACGGATGATCTTGATTACCGTTTTCTCGAATATTATAAATAATGCTGTTAAAATGTAAAATCAGCTTAGTGGTTGGTTTCCATTGTCTCCACTCGCCATTTGTCATAATTCTCGTCAACTACCGCACCCTGCTTTAGTGATAATTTAGTGAGTTTATAGTAACTTTTACTTTTAACAATAAAGTAACTAAATTTTTACTAGAGATGAACTGACATAACCTAATAAATTTTTGTAAGAATGCTTTTGGAATGAAAAAAAGAAATAATAGATTTTGATAATGTAGTTATACACCTGTAAATTTGGATGTAAAGCAATGAGTATCCTTTTTGTATATACAGAGAGAGTGTGTGTTTATATCGTCGTTTCAACGAGGACAAGGAAAGAAGCGCGTCGTGTGGCTGTCGTTATCAGATTCGATGCAGCTTCCTGATAGTTAATTAACGAGTTCATTATGCACCCTTGCCCTCTGTATAGGGCCCCATGGACGTGAAGCCATGATCAGAGCAAAGTGAGGCATTGCCGAGATGCTCAAGAGATAACGACGGCCCGGTGGGTGGCGCTATTTTATTGCATCACGACTCCTGGCCCCGGACCTAGAACCTCTATATATACTTGGATAAGTGCACATATACACATATTATCTCTCTCTCTCTCTTTCCACCAAGGGAGGCCTTACTGGAATCTTCATAAAATCTACTTGATCAACTTTTTTCCACAATATTCTCATTTTCTCTACAGATTGTAATTTTTCAATAGTTTGATAGAATGAGAAAGAAAACATAATCTTTGTCTCTTTCTGATCACGCATGCACGTTTGACGGCATTTTAAAAATTCGTAATTCTTCTATAATAATTTTACTGGTTCGTGGCTTGTAGTTAAATATTGATTGAGCCCTAAGCAAAACTGATTCGTGAACATATGTATACCTCTATCCTCTTCCTTCTTATGAATAATAGATATTTATACTGTACATTTAAATTTATTTCGACAACAAAGAAACATTTTTGTTATTTTTTGTTTTAGAAAGTTGTCATATCTGGTTGGTTTTAGCTATCATAGTTTCTTGTAACAAGGGGTCTCTTTTGTGATTTTTTCATGACCATTTTTATCGTCTTTTCCAGGCAGGAAGTATATATATATACCCAAGTAGTACGAAATATTACAGTAATATTAAAATGTCCGTCTCATGGTAATATTACAGTAACATTACAATAATATTACTGTAATATTACACTAATATTACACGTTTATTTGAAATACATAAAATTTTTTTAGTTTTTTATGATATAACACAAAAAGATAAGAATTAATCAGTCAAATATTTTTAAGTATTTTTTGAAATATTTTGTAATATTATTATGAGGCGAACATTTTATTAATACATCAATATTACCGGGTTTTTAATCTAAAATTAAAATTTTCTAACTCGTGTAGCCCGAGATTTTTGGAAGAGATAGAAATACGTAGGTACTATATACACTGTAAAAGTGTACACTGTGTGTAAATTGTAAAGTGAAAGTGTACAGGTATAAGTTAAGTGAAAAGGGATTTCTATCAACCTGACCCTGCACTTAGCTAAAATATCCTATGCAGTTATACAGTAGTTATTGTTCGTCTTTCGAGGAAAGAATATCTCTACGAAAGAATATTTTTCGCGCAAGTATCGACAGGATTGTGAGTGCTTATAATGGAAGAGCGACGTCGAGAATTAACAAAAATGCGTGTTCGCAAACATCGAAGAATGAAAAAAGATTTAATTAAGTGGCAATCTTTGGCACATCAAGGATCAATTGATTTTGTGACAGAACCTAGTAAGTGCAGAAGAAATATTACCGAATTAATTTAATCCATTCACTAGTTTGAGGAAATATTACTACACTGAAAAAGAAATTTATTTGGATCAAATAAAAAGTATTTGATCCACATACATCATTTACTTGTCTATTATCCAATAAATATGTATTTGAACCAAATACATACTTACTAAACCTAAGTATGTATTTTATTTTACCGTATCAAATAAATAGTTATTTGAATCAAATACAAAATATTCAAAGCTACTAAATAATTATTTGAATCAATTATGAAAATTATTTCATTCAATACTGCATGTTTTTTGATTCAAATAAATATTTATTTGCATTAATAAAATATTTTTCTTGAAACAACTAAAAATTTTCTTCAATTAAATATTCGATTATTTCTCGTAAGTAATTGTTTTAATTGAAACTAAAACAATTTAAAACAATTTATTTGGTTCAAATAAATGGGATTCAAATAATTCAAGTTATTTGAATCAAAAACATATTTTTTTGATCCAGATAAAAAGTATTTAAACCAATTAAGAGCATTTGAACCTTCGTGACGTCACAAATCATGGCGCATGACACGCAAACTTCTCAGGTATGTGAAAAGCACAATTTTGAATATATTTTAAAAAAACCTTTTGGAAAATGTTCAGAATAACATAGACTCTGTCTGTTATGTGCGGAAAATTCAAAATTTTGCGTTTTAAACGTTTTTTAAACAATGTTTAAGTTGGTTGTCACAAGTAAGGAAAAATACACTAATTGCTTATATGTAGGCCATTTTTGTAAAGACCAGGATAAAAATTGGAAAATTCTTATGTAATTTATCAAATATTTAAATTAATTTTATTATAAATAATAATTAAAATTGTTTATTACTAATTAAACAATAAATTGTTGTTCTTTATTTACTTTTTTCAAAAAGCACATATAAAAAAAACATTTTTTTGACAGCTTTCTAAATTGTTCATTTTAATTTTGTAAAAAATAAAGGCCAAAAAACCAATTTATTTTTCAATTTTTCAACTAAATAATTATTGTTTTTTATTTAAAAAATTGAAAATAATTGGATTTTCAATCTTTTGTACAACATTGAGATGAGTAATTTTAAAAATTCTAAAAAACATGCTATTTTATATGTTCTCCTTTGGAAAAAAGATAAAAAACAATAATTAATTATTTGAAAAATTGAAATACAATTTGAAATTTAATCTCTTTTTTTACAATATTGAGAATAGCAATTTAAAAACTTGTCAAAAAATTGCTCTTTTATATGTACTTTTTTGAAAAAATTATATTAAAAATCAATAATTATTTATTTAAAAAATTGAAGAATAATCTGCTTTTTAGCCATTATTTTTTACAACATTGAGATAAGTAATTTGAAAAATTTTGCAAAAATTGCTTTTTTAAAAGTGTTTTTAGAAAAATGCAATTTATATGTGTTTTTTTAATAAAAGAGAATAATTATTGATTTAAAAAATTAAAAACTAATTCAATTTTTAAATATTACGTTTCACAATTTTTAAATTGGTAAATTTCAAAATTAGGAAAAAACTGTTTTTTTCAGGGGTTTTTTGAAAAAGCGTAAGAAGTATTAAATAATAATTTTTTTAAAAAATTGAAGAATAATTCAATTTTTAAACAAGTATTTTTCACAACTTTGAAATTTACAAATAGCAAAATTAGGAAAAAACTGCATTTTTGTGTGTTTTTTTGAAAAAAAGTAAATAAAGAACAACAATTTATTGTTTAATTAGTAATAAACAATTTTAATTATTATTTATAATAAAATTAATTTAAATATTTGATAAATTACATAAGAATTTTCCAATTTTTATCCTGGTCTTTCCAAAAATGGCCTACATATAAGCAATTAGTGTATTTTTCCTTACTTGTGACAACCAACTTAAACATTGTTTAAAAAACGTTTAAAACGCAAAATTTTGAATTTTCCGCACATAACAGACAGAGTCTATGTTATTCTGAACATTTTCCAAAGGTTTTTTTAAAAAATATTCAAAATTGTGCTTTTCACATACCTGAGAAGTTTGCGTGTCATGCGCCATGATTTGTGACGTCACGAAGGTTCAAATGCTCTTAAATATTTTTCAAATAATTTGAAGTATTTGAATCAAATAATTTGTTTTCAGTGTATAATGGTCTAAAATGTAAAAAAATGTATTGTGAACGAATTTTTTGAAAATTTGTATATATACGGGTTTTGGGAGTCACTGAATTCTAATTTGATTTCAAAATTAAAAATGTCGGATCCAAAATTGTGGACATTATTTTTTTACATTGTGTGGAATCTTACGAAACTTTCATGGGGGGGGGGGGTTTAGGTCGCTGAATTTAAATTTAAGCATAAAATTCAAAAATGCAAAATGGAGGATTGATTATTACAAATTTAATTTTATAGACACCATTTCTTCAGAGAACGAGGAAATGTTTATCAATGAAAATAAAGTTCTACATCATAATGAACTTATTAATCATGCAGATTCTGACGAGATAGAAAATAATGAAATAGAATCAGAATGCGCTGAAGATCGAAATGAAAATTTAAAAATTGAAGACAATAATTCTAACTTTGGTAAAATTCTTAACTTCACATTATTGTTTTTATTTTAATTAAGAATTTCGTACTATTAACATTGCGTTTTATTATTATATAGAAATGGATATAAACGATGTAGCTGAAAATGAATATCAATCTAGCGATTTAGAAGACTTGTTACAAAATTCAGAAAATGATGAAGAAGAACAATTGAGAGAATGGGCAATTAAAGGTAATATTTCTTGGGTTCTTATATCTCAATTGCTTCTTATTCTACGACGTCAATTAATGACACAACTTCCGAAGACAGCTTCAATATTTTTAAATCTAAGAACAGAATTTTATATTAAATCTATGACAACTTCCTTATATAAAAATGCTGAGTTTGTGTATTTTGGAATTGCAAAAGGTCTTGCTTCGTGTTTTAATCATTCTCTGCATCCAGATGAAATTATCAATTTAGATATTAATATCGATGCAGCACCTCTTTGGAAATCAACTTCAAATGAATTTTGGCCTACATTGTGTAGAGTTCATTATTTTCATGACAATGTTTATCCTCCTTTTCCAGTTGCGATTTATTTAGGTTCCGGAAAACCTCAATATTTAGATTTGTTTTTAGATGAATTTATAGAAGAATTAAATAATTATCAAAAAAATGGAATCGTGCTAGAAGGTAAGTTGTACAAATTGCGGATGAAAAGTGCGGATATTGAGCTAAATAAACGTTTGGTTTATGCAACCAAATGTTTTGTTAACTGTATATCAATGCATTTATTTTGTTGATTTAACCAAAATTTGGTTGCTTCAAACGAATTTTTTTCTGAGTGCATAACACATTCGAAATATGCCCTGAGGATATTTTAGGATATCCCTAGAAGATTTCCATGATATTTCTATAACCCTCCGACGTTTTGAGGATATCACAAGGATATATAATAATATAATATTATAATAATATTTTACTATTTATCGGATTTTTATTTAAGCATTGGTTAAATATAATGTTGCTGTTAATTTAATATGTCGTCTGGTTTTCTAAAATCTTTTAACATATATCTACTAAGTAATATGGATGTCCTTTGGATATCTGTGGGATATCTTAGAAATATCTTAAAGATATCTGAAATATATCCTTTATACAGGGGCTTTGGATATCCTAGGATATCGTGGAGACGATTTTAGGATATTCTTTTGCTGTGAGGGATTATTTGAATCAAATGAATTAATTTTTAGTGTACATATTTTATATTTATAACCGTTCTCAATATACTTATTTTTTATAGATAATATTAATGAGAAAATAAATATAATTTTCGATAAGATACAGAAGATAGGAGAAGATATCGAATATATAAAAGGGGAAGTAAAAGAATTAAGAAAGAAGAACGTTCAATATGCTCTTTGCCAGGAAACCATGTCGGAGAATTTAGCTTCTAAATTCGAAGTTAAGCTTCCACTGCAAACAATGGAAGAATTTGAAAAATTAGAGGAACTTTTACCTACTAATAAAGAACTGCAGCACTCTTTGGTAAGTAAAATAGAAAATTTAATATTATGAATAATGAAAAGTTTAAAATTATTATTGTAACTAATAATACATTAATAATTATTACAGAAATCGGCCCTGTTATACAACGTAGATTTAAGAGCTGATTTAAAAAAAATTCTTCGCCAAATTTTGTCTGCTTTATTCAGCCGTGAGGTGGCAATGAAATTCACAGCATCGAAACCAATGCCGGAAAAGAAAATATTAAATAGGACAAATTGCTGCAATCTTATTGAGGGTAATTTTTTTTATTAGTATATCATTAACAGTTTTAATTATAAATTGATAATATAAAAATACTTACTGTATAGCAATATTTAAGACGTTATTGAAATATACCATTATTTTATTAAGTTTTTCATTTTCAGGTCTAATTCCATTCAAATCTATGGCAAGTAAAGAAAAGTATTCTAAACCAGAAATAATTGGTGCAATGGGATACGTTCTTACACGCTCTTACGATTGGGGTAATGGCAGGACTGAAAGAAGAAATAAAAAAGACAATAATGTTATTAATGTTTAAGTACATTTAAGTTTTTCTGATTAATATTTTTTATTACTTTTATTAAATATATGTACCTAAATAGAGATAAAATAAATCGATTATTATTTTAAGAAAAATTAAAAGAACCACTAATTAATTTTTAATTAATTAATTTTATTCCTATTTAGCTTCTATATTATTTGGCTTATCCAGAGATTATATACAAACCCCATGTAGATTCTGTATCCTTTGACCTACATAGAGCGAACACAAAAATCCTTTATACATCCTATGTTATTTGTCCTAGGTAGAGATAACTTAAAACCCTACATAGATCTTATAACATGTGACCTATATAGAATGCACTCAAAATTTCTATATAGATCCTATACTATTAGGCCTACTTAGAGATTACATACAAAGCCTAAATAGATCCTACAACATTTGGCCTATGTAAATCATTCATATAAATCTTATATAGATTCTACATATTGTAGCTTCTGTTCTCAATTTAGAAGAGAAATGCGAATAATTTAAATTTTATCAAAGCATCGATAATTAATTTTTGCCAATCTCAGATTTTATATTTAAAAGTTAAGATAAATTTATTTTTTTAGTGATATACACTACCGTCGGAAATTGTCGGTACGATTAACTTTCGAGGAGTGGAAATTCGGAGCTAACTTTAAAGTTAGATATTTCAAGTTAGAAAAAAGTTAGAGACTTCTAACTTAGATAGTTGAAAAGCTGATAAAATTCTGCTTCTGAATGTATATCAAGAAAAATTTTTTGTTTTTTTTTTGTATTTATAACACTGATAAGATTTCAAGCAAAAATTATGCAATTTTCGTACTGTCGTATTAATGTTTTTGACTTCCGGCATAATATAGAATAATGTATGGAAACATTTGACAATTTTACAACATAATCTTTAAGATCTCAGCTTTAATTTGCATTTTTGAAATTTAAAAAATGTTTTGTGGTTCCTGAAATATGTTAAAAAAAGGTCCGAGCATGTTTTTCTACGAGTCAGCCGTCAATCATCGCACTTTTTGCAAGTGAGTATATATTTTAATATTTTTATTAGTGTCTAATTTTTAGGATAATTTTTTTTTAAATTTTACACTTTAATATTGACATAAAAAGAAAAAATATATTCTCGTCAACTATCGCACTCTGCTCTAGTGAAAATTTAGTGATTTTATTGTTAAAATTAAAAGTTACTATAAAGTCACTAAATTTTCACTAAAGCAGGGTGCGGTAGTTAAAGAAAATTTTGACAAATGGAGAGTGGGGAGAATGGCAACCAACCTGTCATAATTCTTGGTCAACTACCACACCCTGTCCTATAGTGAAAATTTTCTGACTTTATAGTAATGTTTAATTTTAAGTATAATGTCACTAAATTTTGAAAAGTCGTGAGACTTCTATAATAATTTTATTAGCTAGGAGAACCTACAGTCTGTAGTTAGTGAGTTAAAGTAAAGAATTTATTGAGAATTTATTTATTAATTATTATTTTAATGTAATATTTAAAGTTTTTTATTAAACGAAATAATTTGAAGTGTATGATAATTCTTTAACTAAAAAAATTTTGCATTAAATGACACAATGCTTTAATGACAAATTACCCATCAAATGGTACGAAATCATGATGCTGAAAAAATTATAAGCAAATAAAGTAAGTTTTTCATATATTTTTTATTTACTTAACCAAAAATTTATATTTTATTAAATGTCATAGTATAATATTAATATTATAAATGTTAACCTTGTATTCACTGCCAATTGTAATAGTTTATTTAATAAATTATTGTATAAAAAATTATAATTTGGAAAAATTCATATAATATCCCAATGTATACGAACGGTATACTCTCCTCTCTATGTGGCAGAGCTTAGTATACCATCAGTTTACTTTAGTAACTTTTCTCAAAGTATTCCAAAGTCTACCTTTTGGCACGGAGGAATACTTATTCGAATACAATGTGACTCAAGTTTACTTTTGGAATACCTACATTTTTCATCCCGGGGAGCATTTACACCTTCGGCAAATAATGTTCTTCACTTGCATTTTCCGAAATACACTTACCTGATTGGTTGTCTAGAATCTGATTCATTGTGTACAACCAATCAGGAAAGTGTATTTCGGAAAATGCAAAGTTAAGAAAATTTTTTGCCGAAGGTGTAAATGCTCCATAATTCTCGGTTACTATAAACTCATTAAATTTTCACTAGAGCAGGGTATGCGGTAGTTGACCGAAATTTATGATAAATGGCAAATAAAATCTTTGGCCAGTGAGAACATTGACATCTTTCCAATATGCCACGAACTAATAAAATTATTATAGAAGTGTGACAACTTTTCAAAAAGCCGTCAAACCAGAAAGACAGTATTTATGCAATTGGGTGTATCTCTATGAATTTTCTTGATTTCACTTGGCGTTAAATCTATTGCCACCGTAATTCTGTAAAATGTTTCATTCATATTTCCACACATATAATAAAAATTTACTTTTCGGATTCGAAATAAAAAAAAAACAAATAAGCACACAGCTGTGAAAAGAATTAATTTAAAAAAAAGGTTACCTGCAACTTTCTTGGAACCATTTAGAGAGAAAAGGAGAGTTGGACTTAACGAAAAATAATATAATATATATCCTTTAGAAAACTTTTTTTTATTTTATTTCGGTCGTCGAAACGTAAAACATTGTGTTGTGAATGCAAATCCGCCTAAATTTCCTCGCAATACACTCGAATGAGAATGAGCAATGATGTGCAGAAGTTGGAATAAATTGATATGCATGCAAGGTGTCAACGGACAAGGTGCGGTGAAGTTCGAGGGGGAGGGGGCTTGTAACCATCATCCTCGAATGCATATGCACAACTTATTGGTGATTGATGCACGATCGATCATACGTGCGTGCACGTCTCTCAACACGAGTATATATATATATATATATATATATATATATATATATATATATATATATATATATATATACGTTTGTTCAATGCAAATGCGGACTCTGCCAATTTTATTTACGTAATCAACTTTATCACTTATTTATTTAATATATTCGATTAGATTTACGATGCACGCGTTGAATGAATGACCATTTTTCATTATTCAAATATTTTAATATTTATTTTGTATATTATTTATATTTACATTTGACGTTGGGAAAGTATAGCTAATTCTGATCAGTTCGAAGCTCCTCTCGTACAAATATAAAATGGTAATTTTACCTTATGTGACGACATACAATCTCTAGAGGGAAAGCAGCAATTGTTGTTCTAGTTTATTCGATCGTTTATTACGAATCTGAGGTCAGTTTTTCAAAATTCAAAATGGCGGATCCAATATGGCGGCAGAATTTTCCAAAATTAATCAAAATCGTTACCCGGGAGTTTTTGGGGTCGCTGATTACGAATCCGATATAAGTTTTTCAAAATTAAAAGTGGCGAATCCAATATGGTAGACATTTTTTTTTTTAATCGTTTGGATTCGCTTCAAGCTTATTAATAGGGTCACTTTGAATTTTGAAAACCTGACATCGGATTCGTAATCAACGGCCCCAAAAACTCCCGTGTAATAATTTTTATGACGATTTTGATTAATTTTAGAAAATTCTCCCGCGATATATTGGATTCGCCATTTTGGATTTTGAAAAATTGACATCAGATTCGTAATCATCAGCGTCCTCAAAAACTCCCGAGATCCTAATTTGTTGCACGTCCACGATTTCCATGCAGGAAATTTTCAATTAAATTTCAATTATAATAATAAAGGAGGTAGTTGTTTTGAAAATTAAATTCCTAAAAATTTTAACAGCCTTAAAATGTATTATATTTCTTTTCTATAAAATTAAGAGATATTTTAAAATGGCTTATAAACTTAAGAAAATATGTGATAATATATAATTAAATCAATATTGAAGATTTAAAAAAATTTAATCACAATAAGTATAATAATGAATGAAGTATGAACGTTAAAATTTTAAGCTACATAATATATAAAATGAAAAAGAATTTAAATTTAGAAAAACGAGTAAAGTGGCGAGTAAAAAAGACGTAAAAAGGGATTCTTTAAGGTGGTTCTTGTATGTGGACGGCATAAAATCTGGAAAGCGGGTATTGCGCAAAGAAAAGGAAAAAAAAATTGGAATAAAAGTATATAAAGGATGTGTATATGTGTATGTGTGTACGAGAGAAAGAGAGAAAGAGACTTTCCCAGAGGGAAAATCCGTGGAAAAACGAGAGTGTTTCGTTTTCTTTAAGTCCAAGTGGTTATCCTCGTTTATTCCGCGCCCGCAGGAATAAATTCATAGCAATGAAGGAATAAATATAAATACATTGTTTGCGTGCTTTCGTGAGAGCAATATAGTATACGTCGATACGCCCGCGTAACTGTCTTCGCAGAATTTTGTCTCATTTTCTTGACGTGCCGTCAAGTTATTAACTTTAAATTGTAGTTGTATTATTCTCTCTCTATCTCTCCTTCTTTTTTTTTTTAGTGAAAAATAACAATTAGCAACACAAAATTTCATCCGAATAACAATTATACACTTGTTTTTCTGATGAAAAATTAAGAATCTAATTGAGTCGTTTTCCTTGCTTTACTGATTACTGATTGCTGCGGATGAACATTCATATTCAGTGAACTGTGCAATTGTTATATATATATATATATATATATATATAAACACAGGAAGTAAACTTTTTTGAATTATGTTATTTGTTAATTCGTATATATGTATAAAACTGGACACAGTATTTAGAGACTTATCTGAAAAAGAATAAAATATCGTTATTTTATCTGAAATGATAAGAAATGTAAAAAATTAAAATAAATTAAATTACATTCATTATTTATAATAAGAATAATATCATTACTTTCTACCTTCTGAAAAATACACTCTTTCTGTTTTTAAATGTTAATTTTTTTTATTATATAGATATGGAATATTTAAAATTCTAATTTTAAATTTCTTTTTAATGATATTGCATTTCTTGTAAACCTTAAAAAATTATCAACA